GGGAATTGGGAGAGGCAGGAGACACAAGAAATGGAGACAACACAGGAGTCTGATCAAGTCTCGTTTATTGGCAGGATGGCAGAGGCTTAAGTAAGGCAGAAAGAGTAACAATAAAGGGGCGGTGCTTTCCGGCCAGAGGATTTCTATATAAGGAAACCCTCAGGGGCTTTCAAGGGCTACGTAGTTATAATGGGTAAATAGAAACTTACAAGCTCTTCCGCAGGCTTTTGCAAATGCGTGGGCTTGGTAAGCAGCTGCCGGGCCTCATGGCTCCGGACAGTTATTGATGTTAAATAACATAACTTTTGTAGCATAGCTAAGTATTTAGCAAGATGCAGTCCAAAATATAGTTAAAATGTCTGAGTTATCGTGAATGATCTTCAAGCTGTTGCATTCAACAACTTTAATAAATGTAGAATTCCCCAACTGTGATGAAAGTTCCAAGAGGAATCTGATGTTACCCTTATGATAATATATAATCAAATTCTTTTCTAATTACTCTTTTACTGTAAGTACATGAAAGACAAAATGTAACTTTTCAAAAGTTACCTTTTGGCAAAAGCACAGATGTTGTCAATCAGTGGACAATTCTTCAATGTGGCTTCTACTTTCCCCTTCTACTTTCTCCTGCCTGTAACTTGACCAAATCTTTCTTACGATCTGTAAGTCGTGAAGAATGTTAAGTTATCCATAGTTTGTTTCATTAAGGTATTTACAATTCTGACTTTCTTTGAATGTCAATGATTTAATCTTTATTTACAAAGATACTACTTCTAAAATTTTGTTGTGTATAACACTCGCCCACACATCAGCTAAAAAGAAAATGCCTAGTTAAGAATTACTGGCTATTTGATGTAGTAGACAAAAACATACACTGGGGAAAAGAATCCTTATTCAATAAATGGTGCTGGGAAAACTGGATAGCCACATGTAGAAGACTGAATCAGGATCCACACCTTTCACCTCTCACAAAAATCAACTCAAGCTGGGTAACAAATTTAAACCTAAGGAGTGAAACTATTAGAATTCTAGAGGAAAATGTTGGAAATACTCTTCTAGACATTGGCCTAGGCAAAGAATTTATGAAGAAGACTCCAATCACAGCAACAACCAAAATAAATAAATGGGACTTGATCAAATTAAAAAGCTTCTGCACAGCCAAAGAAACTTTCACAAGAGCAAACAGACA